AATCAGTATTGAGAAAGCAAAATCGCACGACAAAGAAGAATAGAAGTGAAACTTGTTCCTAAAATTCATAGCCTCTGGAAGATAAGCACAGACGTCTCTGTGCCGATCCTCTAGACTCTACTAAGCTTGCTCGTGAATCGTGAGACCTAAGCAACCTAGTGCTATGATACCAACTGTCACGGCCCGAAATTTCCCACTGACGAGACCGTGATGGCACCTAACATTTCACTTGCTAGGCAAGCCAACGTTAGAGAATCATTGACCAATTCCTTATTTCCATTCCGTAATTAACAATAAGTAACTAAGATAAAATATAATGAGTGCGGAATATCATAAAACTGTATTAATTACTACCACCCGGATCTGAAGTCACAATTCACAGAATCAATAACAACTGGTAGAGAGAAGTTTCACAAAGAAATCAATATTTTATCAATGATTACTTTCACAATTGAACATCTCAACCTCGAATCAATATTCACATTTTTATCGACCTTGGTGGAACCGGATACAAGTCTCCCAACATTTTAACAACAACAATAAGCATGGATAACAAGATTTAAGACTATAAATTTACAAGAATGGAATTTCACTCGCATGCTATGACTCGACCACAACGTATAGATGCTCGTCACCTCAACTATACATCGTATTCAACAACAAAACACGTAGCAAATACTCACACAATACCTATTCCCTCAAGCCAAACTTAGACACAACACTTACCTTTCTCCGAATGCCACTTAATTCTCAATCACAACTTTTCCTTTGGAATTCGCCTCCAAACCACTCGTATCTATTCAAAAATGACTAAATAATATCAAATATTGCTAAAGGAATCGATTATATTTCATAAATTAAATTTCCCAAATTTTTCCTCCAAAAAGTCAAAAAATCGATCCGGGCCCGCTTGGTCAAAATCCGAGGTTCGGACCAAAATCCTTTTACCCATTCATCCCCGAGCCCGAATATATAATTGGTTTTGGAATCCGACCTCAAATTGAGGTCTAAATCCCCAAATTTTCGAAATCCTAGTTTCTACCCTAACCCCTAATTCTACCATAAAAACTCTAGATTTTTAGGTTGAAAATTCAAGAAATATAATGGGTAATTGAAAGAAAATGGTTTAGAATCACCTACCAACAATTCGGGGAAGAAATGGCTCTTGAAAAATCGCCTCTCACCGTTTGATTTTTGAGAAAATGAATTTTTGGCTAAAATCCCGTGTTTGGATTCTGTTAAGTGATGGGCGACAGTGTTCATCGCGTTCGCGAGAGCACTATCGCGTTCGCGAGAGCACTATCGCGTTCGCGAAGGGTACTGGCTGCCAAACCTACGCGTTCGCGATGGTTAAAATTTAGCACCAAATCAAATGAAATTCTCAAGAACACTTTAAAATTTCTATTTTCTCAACTGGACGTCCGAATCACGTCAAATCAACTCCGTTTCTCACCAAATTTCACAGACAAGTCTTAAATATCATAATGAACCTGTACCGGGCTCCGAAATCAGAATTACGGACCCGGCACTAACAATGCCAAACATCAATCAATTCTTAAAAACAATTAATTTTCAGACTTTTAATTTTCATCAAAAATTCATAACTTGAGTTAGGGACCTCCGAATTCGATTTCGGACATACGCTCAGGTCCCATAATTCGATAGGGACCCGCCGGAACCGTCAAAGCATGGATCCGGGCTCGTTTATCAAAAATGTTGATCAAAGTCAACTAAAATTAATTTTTAAGGCAAAAATTCTTATTTTCATTAGTTTTCAACATAAAAGCTTTCCGGAAAACCTACCCGGACTGCGCACGCAAATCGAGAAGGGTAAAAAAATTAGATTTTTAAGGCTTAAGAGCGCAGATTCGAGTTCTAAAACATAAGATGACCTTTTGGGTCATCACATGAAGGTACGAGTAGTGAGATTGTGGCACGTTCCAGACCGTGAAAAACCAGACAACACCGTCTCCCTTGAATTAATTATTCAAGACGAAAAGGTATATTCTTTTTTAGTTGCATTTATTTTTTCCCGTAATTTGACTACAATATCCATCTTCTGATTTGCACTATGGAATTCATTAGGTGTTTCCCAATTTTATCGCCTCTTTTCTAGAAATTTTCCACTACTTAATATGTTTTCAAATAAATAAATTAAAATATACTAAAAATTGCAGAGACACCACATTTTCAATAAAAGTATAGTCTTTCATATTAAAGGCAAGCTTCTTTTATCTCTATCTCTTTCTCAAATGTTCCCAATTCTCCCAATTTCCACCATTGTTATATCACTTTATCATGGAAGATGACAAGAAACACGGTATGTTATACAAAATCATAAACGGGTAACACCTCCTCAGATCGGAATGTTTATTATCTAAAATTGAGGGATTTCTACTTGGAAAAGATTCACAATTTCCCATCAACTATTACATTTTATCATCTCCAACCAAAATCCAATTCGAGGTATGTTTGAGCAGATGACTTCCTCCTTAATTTTAGATATAAACCCTAAATTAGTTGCTTGGAATTCAAATTTCTATTTGCCCAATTTAATGGGCTTAATCACACATTTTCCGGCTCTTTTTATGGAAATATATTTTTCATAAAGTTAAAGCCCCTAAATTAGTTGCGTGGAATTCAAATTTCTATTTGCCCTTATATTTTATGGGCTGAATCACACATTTTCCGGCTCTTTTTATGGAAATATATTTTTCATAAAGTTAATGCCCCTAAACACACGTATTTTGTTTCTTATTTATAGCGAGTAAAAAGATTATGCGAATATATATTATATACTTTACATATATATATATATATAGCAACTGTATTTTTTTGAATTTAATTGCTACTTAGGGTTTGTCTTCAGTGTGTGTATATATATATATATATATATATATATATATATAGTTGCACCGAGCATATACTTTAGTATAGACAATCCTTTGATCAAATTTTCTCTAAGGCAAAATATGACGGCAAGCTTTGACTATGTCAGCGATATATCGAGTAACAAGATGACTTGGAATTTGAAGGTACGAGTAGCGAGATTGTGGCACGTTCTAGACAAACCAGACAACACTATCTCCCTTGAATTAATTATTCAAGATGAAAAGGTGTATTCTTTTTTAGTTGCATTTATTTTTTCCCGTAATTTGACTACAATATCCATCTTCTGATTTGCACTATGGAATTCATTAGGTTATGCGTGTATTTAATCAACTGCAATTTCAGTTTTTATGGTCCAGATGGAGATACCTCGAATTGTGAATGAAGCTAACTCTTCATCTGCAATTTTGGTAGAAAAGATTTTTGGTATACTTGAAATCGTTTGTAATTTGTTCTAAAGAATTGTTTTCATGTGCGAGAACATTTTTGGAGATATTAAAATATATAATATCTAAGATTATTGGTATATGAACAATAATTGCCATAAAATCTGCATTATCTGTTATTTTGGAAAGGCATATATTCACATATTATGCTTTACCCCTTGGTGCTTGATTGTTTAATATAATCTGAGACAACACTGTACAATTGAGTATTTGCCTGACTCAATATTATTTATGATTTATTTTTTCTCGGGCGATCGGATTCATGCAACTGTTGGTCGGTCTCTTATACGTATGTTCAAACTAAAGATAAAGGAATTGGGTTTGTACTTTATGAAGAACTTTGTAGTTGGACCAAATAATATGAAACTTAAATACATGCGGCATAAATTGAAGTTGGCATTTACTCATAAGACGATTGTAGAGGAATCAAATGATCAGTTTTTTGGTATGAGTATCTTCGACTTAAGACCTTATGAGTATTTGGTAAATAAACTTGATGTTGAAGAAAGTGAACTCTTCGGTAAGTATTTCTTTCGCAATTCTTTTATTTGAATGTCTTATCAAATTTGTTGTGACTATTCTTTTTAAATATTATAGATGTCATAGGAGAGGTTGTAAGTTATGGTGAAGTAGAATCACATACCCAAGGTGATAAGACCAGCACTTTTATGAATGTGGAACTTGAAGATCATGAGTAAGATTGCGTCTATGACATTACTTTGTTATATATTTTAACAAGATTACTCATCCCCATCTGATTAAGTTGTTATATAATTTATGCAAGAGGAATAATATTTCGGCAACATTTTGGGGAGAATTCGTAGACCAGATCTTGCCACATTTGGAAGGATCACCCCATCAGCCAGTCATAGTGGTTATGCAGCTGATAAAAGCTTACAAATTTCAAGGTATTTCAATTGTCTTGATGACATGGGAGATTTATTTTGTGTTAATTTTTTGGTTCTGAAACTAATGTTATATATATGCAAATATTCTGTGCGTAATACTTGGCATGCCTGAAAGCTCTGGATTAATCCGGATCTTCCTCAAGCTGTTGATATTAAGTCCAGCTTAGTTATTTGATAAATTACGTTTACGCGGATACTAAAAAAATTATTGTTTATAGTTAAAACTAATACAACCTTGCATAAATGCAGATTGACAAGTGTGAATGAAGCTAACTCTTCCAGGATCAGTCAAATACCTTCTCAGCGTAGTTATTCTGTTTATGATGAGTTGGCTACTGGAATTGTAGAAGTTAAAACTATTAAAAAATTAGTCTACTGCATGGAGGTGATTAATCTATTAAACTCCTTTGGTATTTAACTTATGTTATTTTGTGTATGTATAACAATGTTGGATCTAAAAACACTATTTCTTTTCCTTAATTTGCATATCTATGCTTATCGCTGCTTATCTATTTGGTTTTGGACATCATCTTTTAATGGAATATAATGGAAGCTTATGCTCCTTGGCATTTATATTGATATTCCAAGAATCAAATTTGCTACATACATTGCTACAACTTTAGGTATTCTTTTCAGAAAGGACAAATTTGGATTGTTGCGACTGTAGTGAATCTGCAACTTGAAAAAGAATGGTCATATTTGGGATGCAAGAGATGCTCGAAGAAGGTTGATAAAATTGGAAGTAAATTTCACTGCAAGAAATGTGACCGCCTTGATAGTTCTGCCACTCATAGGTTTGATAAGCCTCTCTATTTACTTAAAAAATTAAATAAAACTTAAGTTTCAATTTCTTATTCTAAGCGTGTCTTTCAGGTACAAGCTTCAAGTGCAAGTAATGGATCGCACTGGCTTTATATCTTTGTTGCTTTGGGACCGTGAAGCAACAATCCTCATTGGGAAGTCTGCTGATGAGTTAAATGAAATTTCAATAGAGGTATGTTTTTTTATTTAATTGTTAGTATATGTTTTTTGGCAGCAATAATCGCGTGTAGACTGATGATATTGTTACTATAAAATTAACTTGGATAATGAAACAAAATAAGACGCATAGCATAAAACGACATAATGCAGTCTACCAGGATGAAAAGTAGGCTAATGATTTAAGGGATGGTTTAGTAGATGTACTTTTTATTTTAATTCTTTTTGTGTTTTAGCTCTTCTAACACTAATCCGGTCTTAGACTTCTGGTTATTGAAGCCAAGGTTTTATCTGATAATATGGCTGGACAAAAAGTGTTTATCCCGAGAATGACATTGACACCATCAGATGCAAGAATACCTTTTAAGTTCCAGGGAAGACAATTTCCAATTGTTGTATCTTTTGCCATGACAATTAATAAAAGTCAAGGCCAGTCATTGTCTCATGTGAGGTTATTTTTGAAGAAGCCAGTATTTACTCATGGACAACTGTATGTTGCTCTTTCACGCGTGACAAGTAGAAAATGGTTGAAGATTTTAGTTTATGATGATGATGGCCAAATAACGAATGAAGCTAGAAATGTGATGTATAAAGAAATTAGTTTGAGATGAAGCTAGAGATGGTGTAATCATCAGGTATTTACAATTTGCTTTTCCAATAAATACAAGGAGAGATGACTATAAGTTTTAACTGAGCTGTCACTGTTGTTTTGGCAGGGGCGAGATGAAACTAGGTTCAGCAACACAGTAGAGGATATCAAGGTATCTTCATAACTGCAATTTTTGAGTTATTACATTTCCTTCTGTTGGGGGGTTGAGAAGTACTGGCTCTATGTACAGAAAGTTAATTCAATAGTTTCTCCGGGGAGAACTACTGTGAAGCACCAATGTATGTTAACTTCTGTTAGCGCTAAGTATAACCAAAATACTTAATCATGTAAATCTCTAAAAGCTATGCTGCACTCTCAATTGTTTTTACTGTTCATGTTATTCCACATTGCTAGAAAGACTTTTTTAACTTTTCCCATTAAATAAAAATGCCCCAAATACTTCCCTTATTATCTGCTTAGTGGAACATCATGTCGGGATTATCTGTTGTTTGTTGTTACTATTATAGGTTTTGATTGAAAAATGGTTGTATTGATATACTTTTTAATCTTTTACTGGATATGATTGATAATTTAGCTGTTGTCTGTAGGTTATGGTTGAAGGTTTTTCTATTTTTGTAGTTAAGATATAGGTTTTGAGTGAAAAATTGTTCTGTTTGTAACAGACCACTATGAGGGGTTGGAGGACGTGTGATGTGGAGTTTCAGCCGTACTTTGTGCTTGGTGACTTATGGGAGTCTATTAGAGAATGAAGTGTATATTGAGGTGGAGTTCCATTAGTGTTGAATGAAGGTGATAGTGTACAAGCCAAGCCCCTCATTTTGATACTGGCTTGGAAAAGTTCTTTCTTGATGGTGTTCTGCTATTTGATTTTGTTCTCAAACCTTACTGACATTTTGCTGCTGACATGAGTATTTTATATAGAGTATAACTTACATTTTCACGTTACATGGTGACTTTAATATCTAATACATTCTGCTTCGCATCTATAGTGTGATTTTAATAATTTATTTTTCTTTTCTGAATATATGGTTAGAACAATATTGTCATACTAATATTTAAAAGTACCATCCGTGCATCGCGCGGGTTTAATACTAGTTGATAAATAACAATATAAAGTCTTAAATAACTAATATTGAATTACAAAAAATAAGGTAATACAATATGAAAAATATAGGAAACTATTATTTATTGAAACGAATATAAAAAGAAAGAAAAATGATAATGACAACTTTTTTTGAATACCTTTTGTCTTATGTTATATCCTTGTTGCTTCAACTTAGCCTTTATAGCAATTTAACTTTTAATACTATATTATAATATACTTTGTTCTATTTTCTTATTTCTTTCACGGCAAATGCTCTTATTGTGTAAAATAATTTGTGTACCTTAAGAATTTATATGATGATTTTGAAACAAAATTGAATTGACTTTTTTGCTGCTTTATTAATTCAAAAATTTAATTATTTGTTAAAAGTTCATGCATTTATGATGGCATAGAAAATACAAATTATTTTCGAACTTTTCCTACTCAAGCAAAATATTATTTTCTTTATCAGTTTATGTAATATTGAAAACTACATTTAATAATTAAAATAAATATTTAATTAGGTACAAAACCTCTTGCTTTAGTAGTAACAGTATATAGAAACATCTTGTTAGAATTATAGGTTCCCTAAAAAGAAGAATCAATGTGAACATATTTCCATGGAAATTACCGTGAGGAAATATAAGGAAAAGAACGTAATTCTCTTACTTCTCTTAAATAATATCCATTTTAAAGTCCTTAATATTAAGATTTCTTACTTAATTCAATATGAAAAAATCTAATAATCGAAATTTTAGTTTTAAAGTCTTAAATATTAAGATAATAATTAAATGCATATTTTGTATAGCGTGAACTCTATTTTAAAAGGGTAAAAAAAAACGAACGATATTTCGTCAAGGGTTTTCATGCTTTTAATATAGTATATAGTGATGATAATACGTATAAATGTACAAGTATATAACATGAATTTATTAATTTGATACAAATATTGAATATGTCACATAAATATCAATTGAAGAATGATCTTTTTAACAAAGTTAATTACACCACAAAGTTTAGCCAAAGTTGAATTTTTTGCTCAAGCCCTTGATCAGATTAGATGCACTAGTCTTTCTTTGTTTCTTTCTTTTGAAATTTTAATTACATAAGGAATAAAATAAAAAGAAGAGGAAACGTAGAGATTTGAAATCATACCTGTATAGGCCAAAATCCGTCCTTAGGATATTTAGCGTAATATGGCATTAAAGAAAGAGTCGGTCGAGCTCGCTCAAGATGCAGCGAAGTCATTGGCCGAGGTACCGACATGAGCCGTAATCGAGATGTTGATAGGGATCGCAGTCGAGATGTCAACAAGGGTCGAGGTCGAGAATGACTATTGATGATAAGACTTGTAACGGCTAATTTGTCAGGATATGATACTAAAAGAGAATATTCTAATGGATATTCCCTTCGTTTGTACTATTAGGATTTCCTAGGAAAAATGCCCCATATATATATATAGAAGGAAGAGACAATGATAGGGGAAGGTAATATTGATTTTGAGAAGAACACTTTTGAGAAGAAGGCTTTCTCTCTCGCAAAAATACAAAGACTACCTTTTGATAAAGATTCTTGTTCATATTATTCCCACCTTTCCACTAGATCCGAGGATTGTTCATACGAATCTTGCACCTATCTCTCATTCATCATTGTCAGGAGAAATATTCGTTCAACCCACTCATTATTGGGTTAATCTTTCTCCTTATTTACCTAAATATCATTTATTGCTATTTATTGTTAGTTATGTCTTCATTAATGTTCAGGCTTTAAGATTTGTTTCCACTTATTGTCATCAATCATTTATGGGATATGTCCCATCTACCGTACGTTTTCAAGATTAGTGTCTAGAGTTATTATCCTTAACTAGATTTAAACCTTTGTTACATAAATTTAATAGTTTAACCAGAAGTTATACTTTTTGGTCAAACAATTTGGCGCCGTCTGTGGGGACTTTCTAGCTAAGTCTTTTAGTTTCTTCTAGATCTACAACTGACACTGGTTACTGACGCAAAAAAAAAACGAGAATAATGAATGACCTCCCAACCAAGCTCATGGATATCATCCACAAAATCTCTGAAGCAGTGAACAAGGACACAATGCCCAATGCCTCTCCTAGGCGAGGTGGATCACCCCCTCCCAACTTCAGCATCACAAAATCCCATGGCAAGACAACCTCCACATCCATAGGAGAGGAGACACCACCAACGATAAAGAATCTCCTTGAGGCTTGGCTAACTGATACACTGACCAGCGTCCTCCATAATCCCGTTCAGGATGCGAACACGGTAAAGGCGAGATCCTGTGCCGCCCCACCAGTGGACGAGCAACATAATTAGCCTCCTACTCCACCCACGACGACAGGTATTACTCAGTGTTTTTAAAAATGCAGGTGACGACGCTCTCACAGCCATTCTGGAAAGGATGGAGGAAATGGAAAATGAGAACAAGATACTTCGAGATCAAATGAGAGAGCACCAAGAAAGGGTCGATAAAATACCGGGTGCTCCTAAGGTATTGCCGAAGAGATACGCCGAATGGTTCGTCGAGCAGCCGTGCAGTGATAGCGTTGCCCCACATGCCATACCAAAGACCTTTAAAATGCCGCCTTATCTGAAAATATACGATGGCACAACCGACCCCGAGGATCATGTGACCTATTACGTCACCGCCGTGAAAGGTAATGATCTAGCTAAAGAACAAGTATCCTCCATTCTACTAAAGAAATTCGGCGAAACCCTCACGGAAGGTGCATTAAACTGGTACTCGTAACTGCCAGCACGTTCCATCGAAACCTTTGAGAAAATGGCCGATAAGTTCGTGACAACCCATGCCGGAGCCAAAAAGGTCGAGGCAAGAGTGAATGACATCTTTGCTATCAAACAGTCCCCGGGAGAAGGACTGAGGGACTTCCTCACCTGTTTCAACCGAGTAAGAATGACTTTGCCCAATGTATCAGAAGGAATGGCGGTAGCTGCTTTTCAAAACGGACTGAACAAAAATGGTTCAAGGGCGACAAGAAAATTATTAAGTCGACTTATGAAATATCCCCCAACGACTTGGGACGAAATACATAATATGTATTGTACCGACGTCCGAGTAGACAAAGACGACCTCAATGGGCCGACTCATCAGCTGACCTCAGTACAAGCAGAATCCAAAAAAGATCAGAGAAGTGATATCAGAAGAGATCCAGTGGCCTCACGGACAAACCGGGAATGACATCTCCCATATGTCAGAACTACCGCTATATCCTCATCTCACCATGAAGAAGGCCCACCCCGATCAAGAACAGGGACTCACCGGAATGAGAGAGGTATGGCTCATTTACTATCCGCTCACAATTTTTGCGTGTCACCTACAGAGATCGTCTACGCCTTGGAGAAGCTCGGACCAAAGATAAAGTGGCCACAAAAGATCAGGTCGGACCTGAATACCAGAAAATCAGATGCCCTCTGCGAGTTACATCAAGAGCGAGGACACAAAACCGAAGATTGCATCGCCCTAAGACAGGAGGTCGTAAACATGTTGCGACAGAGACACCTCAAAGAATTGATGAGCGATCGGGGAAGGACTAACTTTACCAGGGGACGCGAATAACATCAAGGGCCGCCAAAGCCGCCTTTGCCAGCCCATACCATCCACATAATCATCGATGGTAGGGACGACGCTTCCATCAACAACGTGAAGTTCACCACAACCCACAAGCTCAAACGGTCGATTACCCACGAACGGTATGATGATTTCGAAGAAAGTATAACTTTCGATAAGTCAGATACCAACGGTTTGACATTTCCTCACTATGACACTCTCGTTATTACTTTACGAATTTTAGATACCGACGTTAGACGAATTATGGTAGATGATGGGAGCGGCATGTGTATTATCCATCCCTGAGTACTCACACAAATGAAACTCGAGGACAAGATAGTACTACGTTACATCACACTAATAGGCTTTAACAATGCAGTGGAACGAACATCTGGCGAGATCACACTCCCCGTCCTGGCGGGTGGCATCACTCTGGAGACCACTTTCCACATCATGGACCAGGACACGACATACAACGCCATAATAGGGCAACCATAGATACACACCATGAGAGCTATACCCCCCAGCTTGTACCAAGTCATCAAAATTCCAACTCCATGGGGCATATTCAGCATACGCGGGGAGCAACGCACATCCCAAGAATGCTACCGCATCGCCCTAGACTGCAAGGCCACCCAACAAATGAGAGATAAAGAGAAAGAGGCATAGAAATCAACAGGGTCGAGGTCGGTAAGCGATGACAGTGGGGATGCCATCAGAGACCCCGATATGGCCGAGGCCGCAGGATCGACCATAGAGGACCTCGACCCCGTTCAACTAGACATCAACGACCATAGCAAGAAAAGCTTACATTGGCTGCAAACTTTAAGAACCGGTAAGTTTCATGAATTTTTAACTGCTAACGCAGACCTGTTTGCTTTTAGACATGCAGATATGCTAGGGATTCCAAAGGAGATCGCCACACACAAATTAAACGTCGATCTATTCTACCCCCGGTGAGGCAGGTTCGACATAAGTTTAACTCCGCAATCAATGACGCTGTGCGTGAAAAAGTGGAAAAATTATTAGAAAATGGCTCCGTCATAGAGTCGAAGTACCCCCAATGGGTCGCCAATGTGGTCATGGTGAAAAAGAAGAACGGCAAGTGGCGGATGTGTGTAGATTTTACCGACCTGAACAAAGCTTGCCCCAAGAATTCGTTTCCATAACCTCATATCGACCAGCTCATCGACGCGACAGCCAAGCACGAGTTGCTATGTTTCTTTGATGCCTGCTCGGGCTATAACCAGACCCTTATGGAGGAAGAGGACCAGGAAAATACCA